GAGAGGCTGTCATCTTCAGCAATGTGGGAATGATTTCAGGCTTTTAGAGTAGTGTTTTGTTCAATCTGTGAGCAGCATTAGAGCGAAGGCATTTCTGAAGTGGCACATGGATTATTTGCATTGGTCTGGTTTCAGTATTGGTGAAGCATCCGTGTGGCATTGGGGGATTTAGCAGATAATTGGCTGTTGTGATTTGAAGGTTCCTTGGGCACAGCCTGGTGTTGCCTTGGTTCCTTTGCAAGCTGCAGTTTTGCAGTTGGTGTTAAGAGCTTGAGCAGAGGACGCCGTGGTGGTGTTTTGCCATTGTGTGTCCTGGGACACCACAGTACAGAAAAGAGCTGAAGCTGTCACAGAGTGACCAAAGGAGGGACACAGGCATGGGGAAGGGTCTGGAGGGGCCACATAAGGAGCAGCTGAGGGCGTGGGGTTTGTTCAGCTGGAGCAGAGAACACTGAGCTCAGACCTCAGCAGGGGCTGCAGCTCTGATTTCTGCTCCCTGGGACAGGAACAGGACCCAGGGAATGCTGGAGCTGCACCAGGGCAGGCTCAGGCTGGAGATCAGGGAAGGTTCTTCTGTCCCCAGAGGGTGCTGGCACTGCCCAGGCTCCCCAGGGAATGGTCCTGGCCCCGAGGCTGCCAGAGCTCCAGGAGTGTTTGGACTCCACAGGGGAGGATTGGTGGGGGTCTTTGAAGGGCCAGAGCTGGCCTGGATGATCCTTGGGGATCTCTTCCAACTCAGGAGATTTGTGCTTCTGTGATCATGAGTCTGTCCATGGTAATTATTTTATTTTAACTGAATCGCAGCCTCCATGTGTACAAGACTGAGAAAAGAATGAGTACTTTAAAAACTGTTAGAACCATTTTTGGGAATGAGTATCTTAGAAAAGAGCTACTTTGGCAAAATGTGGTGGGGTTTATGTTTCACTGCTTAGAAAGCCCATTCAGATCTTTGTGGGCTCCTTCCAACTCAGCATATCCTATGATACTGTGAAATTTTGGTAGTTACACCACTTTGGTTGACTTTGTTTTTGCATGTGTTGAACAGCCTTAGTAAATGACTGAGGCTTTTTTCCATTTTCGTTTGCCTGTCTTACAAAAAGGAAAAAAACTTGGAATTGATAATGAACTTGTTGCATGTTTTAAATGATCAGTTCTAAAATTAGCAGTGTGATTACCAATTTCATGATGACTCAGAGTTCTTCCTTTGAATGGAAGCCCAGCTTCCTAAGCTCCTGTGTAAGAAATCTCGTCTTGGTAGTGAATATCTTAATTTCAGCTTTGGAAATCAATGTTAAATGAAGTGAGGTGTGAAAAGGGTTGTCTGTGAAGTGTTGAGCATGGCTGATGAGAACAGAGCTTGCTGAAGGTGATGCTCTGTGAATGGTTGTTCCTGAACTGGTCCAGGCAGTGATCAGGACTGTCCCTGTCCCTGAAGAGGAGTTTMATTCCCCACCATGGGGATAACAGCAAGCTGGGAAGGGTGCAGGAACAGCCATCCTCTTCACTTGCTGCAGATCTTGGGGTATCTTTTCGAGGATGACTGGGTTTTATGGTGACTTTTCCAATTAAGTGGTGAAATTCCCATTTCTGCTCAGAGATTTAATTGATCTGTGCAAACAGCAGCTCCACTTCCATTTTAGAGTGCTCCCTAAAGCAAATGCATTCTTTTGTTGTTTGAACCACCAAAAGAGCTTCAAAGCAACACGTCAAGGCTGCCAGAGCTCCAGGAATGTTTTTTGGACAATGCTCTTGGGGACTGGCTGGGATTGTTGGGGTGTCTGTGCAGGGCCAGSAGTTGGGCTGGATGATCCCTGTGGGTCCCTGTCAGCTTGGGATATCTGATGGTTCTGTCTCTTTACCGTGCTGTCAGGACCATGCATTGTAAAAACTCAGAATTCTTTTTCCCAGCAGTGAGCATGGGTCTGTGGGAGCTGTTGCAGGCTTTCCTTGGGAGCAGATGAAGCCTGGTGCCTGCAAGGGCGGCGCTGGGGCTGTGTCCTTTGGCAGCAGCCCTGTGCAGACACCAGGGTGAGTCAGCAGTGGCTGGGAGCTGCATTCCAGCCTAATGCTTTSAGATAATCACTGAGGTGCTTCAGGACGATTATATTTAGGTAGGAGAGACATTGGCTTGCCTGTTAAAAAAAAAAATCGTGTTTTTTCTAAAAACAACCCTCCCCACTGGGCTCACTGTGAGGTATTTGATTTTGAGCTGCACTTGGGTTTTTGTGCTGCCAGGCCGCAAAGCCCTGGAGCACATGAAGCACTTTCAGTGAATCAGCATCACAGTCTCACAGCAGGGCTGGGGTGGAAGGGACCTCTGGAGATGATTCAGTCCAACCCCCTGTCCAAGCAGGGTCACCTGGAGCAGGTGACACAGGAGTGCTTCCMGGTGGGCTTGGARTGTGCCCAGAGAGGGASACTCCACACCCTCCTGGGCAGCTGTTCCAGGGCTCTGCCACCTTCCATGGGAAGAGGTTCTTCCTCATATTGAGGTGGCCTCAGTAAAAAGATTTCTATTCCCCCCATGCTGAATTTTTTTTAAATTGTCTTTCCTTACTGGCGTATTGTAAAACGCCTTTCTGCAATTCCCACTTTTGCTTTGAAAAGTAATGGTCACAGAATTGTAATGGTCACAGAATCATGGAATGGTTTGAGGAACCTTAAAACTCATCCAGTGGTACCCCCTGCTGTGGGCAGGGACACCTTTCACTATCCCAGGGTGCTCCAGGCCCCTCGGGAACACTTTCAGGGGTGATGCATGGAAAAGCTTCAGATTCCTGGTGAGTCCTGGTTGACAAGGTGGTGATCAGTCAGAGGCTGGACTCGCTGATCCTGGAGGTCCTTCCCAGCCTGAAGGACTGTGTGAGGCAGTCCTGCAACTGGTGGGAAGCAGGGATCTCTGTGAGCTGTGCCTGCACCCTTGTGCATCGCCCTTGAGCAAGGGAGAGGAGCGGGAATTGCGCCTGGGACTGCCCTGGTTATTTTGGAACCTTTTATCTCGCACTGCCTGTGTATTTGGAGGCTCTGGTGCTGGAGCAGTGTGTGAGCAGGCTGGGAACGCTGCTGTTAAGATGTTCTGTTCCCTTGGCTCGGAGGGTGTGTCTGCCTTGCTCCCATCTTTCACCAGCTGGGAATCCTGGAAAGTCTCTCCTGTCAGCCCCTTGGAGAGGAGAAGCATCTGAACATCAACCACAGGCTGCAGTGCCTGGAAAAATGTAGGAAAGCTCAGGATTGCAGACAGAAATGTGAGCAAGTCACAGGGTAATTTGGTGAAGATTGGGCATCTGTCCCACAGATGATACGAGAGCTGAAACCAAGTTTTGTTTTGATGTGTCAAAATAAAATTATTTTCCTCCTGTTGCCAGCATGAAGGCTTGTCTTCTAGGGAGAAGTGCTGCAGAAAGCAGACAGATATATTGGATGTTTTTGCTCTGGTAATTTATAGTTTACATAGCCCTGCTGTTCAGAGCAGGGTGCACAGGGAGGTGCTTTGGAGGATAAATGCTGGAATGGGGAGCAGGGAAGAATCAGGTTAAAATTGGGAAGGAGGAGGGAGTGATGGGCTGTGTTAGCCAGATAATTCACAGTTAATGTGCTGTAGAACCAGTTTCTTCTGCTTATGGCAAGGAGTAACTGATAAAATAGTAAAGATTGCTAATTATATAGCACCTTTTGTTAATTAAAGAGGTGTGAACTGCTTGCTGAGTGAAACACAATCAGAGGGAAATTCAAAGTTTGTGATTTGAGGTTATCCCAAGCTCTGTAAATTAAGCACTTTAATGTTGGGGGTTTTGTTTTTTTTTTTTTATTTTTTTTGTATGTGTTTTTTAGTGTTTGGGCAAGTACAGAATAAACTGGAAACCAGGCACAATCCCATTCCAGTGTCTGTATTTAAGGCAGCTACAAATATTTATTTGGCTTACTTCARGGCTTTCATATTTTCCTCATTGTCTGTACAAATCATCTGTTGAATGGCCCAAGCAGACCAACATCTATTAATACTTGGATTACAACACAGTAAATGCTAATTCCTTTTTTTTTTCTTTTGAGAGTACAAAACATTATTTCCGTGTATTCAGTTCCTAATGTTTTTCTGAAGCCTTGCAGTAATGGTGTCAGTGCAGAACTTGGTGTGTGCTGCTCTGTTCTGCTCTGAGGACTTGTGGGAATTTTACAAGGGTGGAGTAAAGTAGTTTGTGTCCTACTTCAGGCTTKGCTTCGTGTACAAGTAACTGGAATTTTAATATCCTGGGAGCTGATGCAGTGTCTCCCAGTCTGATGTGATTATTCTTTGGAGCTTTGGTGTATTTTGACCATGAAAATAAAAATGAGTCTTGAAAGGGTGGGATAATTTAGGTTGAGAGGGCCCTCTGGAAATCACCTCCTCCAGCCCCCTTTTTTAAAGCAGGGCCAACTTCAAACATATCATGCTTTGTTCTTTCTCCTTCTAAAATTAGTTTGAGGAGGAGTATGTTAATGTGGCAGGGTGAGGGTTGTTTCGAGCTGCTGCTTTCATTTCTGCTTCACTTTTCAGCAGAGCTTTTTCACTGCATTATCATTTCTAATAATGCTTTAAACCTGGGAGGACTTTCTTTTCTGGAATTGTGTTTAAAAAAAATCCATGTTTCATTTCACTGCAGGGAAAATAAATATCAGTAATTTCCTAGCAGTTGTGAATTCCTTACTACATCAACTCTAGATGTAAACTTCAAATTTTCTTATTTACCCTTTCTCCTTAGCATTGATTTGTTTAGCTAAGAGGTACTTTTCTTGAATTCTTTTATCCTGGGTTGCTTTTGGCAAGTGAGTGGCAGGTAGTTCAGAATAAGAAATGAGAATATTTGTTCAGAAGTGGAAAATTGTTGGATTTTTTTTTTGATAAGCAAGGTATAAAATCCTTTTCAGATCTGCACATTCCCATCTATTGCRTGGAGTCTGTTGTAGTTACTGCTCAGATTTGGGTCCACCTACACATTTGAGTAATGTCCATTTGATGCTGTTGTAGACATTTCTCATGCTTTATAAACATTTCCATAACTGTATATTCAGATATTTATCCAAACATAATTGCTATGGGCTTTCCTGCGGAGAGGCTTGAAGGAGTGTACCGGAACAACATCGATGATGTAGTAAGGTAAGGCTTGTTTTTTCTTTTCCTTAACAAAACTTGAGTATCCTTTTCTGTACTCATTTATGTCTTSCTGAGGAATGGATGTGTGTCCTGACTGGTAGAAATGGTGAGATTTGGTGCATTTTRTAGAGGTTGCCTTAATAGCTTTCCTGAAAAATGTTGGAAACCACAAAAAATGGCCARGCTGCTGTTCTGGGTTGATCTCAAATACATATAATCTGCATTTTTAGTGTGAAAAATCAGCTTCAGTAAGTTGTGGTGGAGTGAAAAAAGGTTGTTTACTTACAGAAAAACATCAATCCATGMCTATCTTCAGTGTCAAAAGTTTCCTCAGGTATCTGATGGTATTTCAGGATAGGTTTGCCCTTACCCTTTCTTAAATTGATAAATGAAGTGCTTGGTAAGTAAATTTTGATTTCAAATAGTAAGTATACATGACTTTAGAGAAAGGCTTTTACATTTGGTGGTGTTCAATAATTATGGACAAGGAGAAARACCACTAAATTCTGTCACTCCTGGTAAAAACCCCTAAAGGTTGTAATTTTTAACTTCAGATAAAAGTCATTACTCTGAATTGCTGGCTACAACTGAGGATGAGCTGGGGAGTGTTGTAGGAACACCATTGTAACTCATTTAGTTAAAACCCTCCCTGGAGGGTGTGAGAGGTTGCATTAAAGACAAAACACTGGGTAGAAGCTGCCAAAAGGTTGTGGGTTTAGGATTAAAAACTGT